CGTGGTAACAGCTATTCAGACAAGAGTGATACCGGTGTACTTAAAACAATCCTGGCAGTATGTAATACCTTTGCTGTGTAAATCTCCCGGCTGCCTAGGTGGCCAGACTTGCAGTCTCCTGTCTCTTTTTAAATCGTTCAAAGGGTTACCTGGGTCCAGGACCTGAAAGAGATTTAAGGATGACAGTGTATGTAAAATGCAAAAGCTTAAGGTGTGTATAAGATAAGGAAATCTTCTAGGAGCTGATTGGGTATTGCCTGAGAGCTGGCCCAGAATTCTTCCTTCATCTCTAGGTGTGCGGAGTGATTTTCACAATGAAGGCATGTCATTTCTATAACAGGGTAACCGAAATCTATCCTTACTATATTCTTTGATCTGTGGCCACTCCATCTGCAGGCTGGTTTTCTGTCCTGATTCCTCTTCGCTTGGGCTGCCAAATACAATACAGATCACTCATTTAACTCACATTTCAGAAAACCATCATGACGTTAGTGTAGGTATGCCACTCACACTGCACGAGACATACTAAGGAATTATTTGTTTTCCTGACATTCTAATGAAACCGGGAAACTGGCCTTCATTTTGTTACAGCTGAATCTAGTCATGGTATTTTCACAGAAGCTCCGGAGTGCCAAGTCCTTGACCTTGGGCAGTGTTTCCTAGAGTATGGTCCTCAGTGGGGCCCCTGGTTCAAAGGGAAAAATCACAGGCTCAAGTAGAATGCAGAACCCGTGTTGGGCATCCTCCTAATGGCAGCCATTGATCTTAAGGATAAAGCCGCTGTTGACCTTCGGAATGTTGCCTTCTGACATTCCATCACGCTGGCTTAGTAGTTCAGTTAGGGCTTAGGACAAATGACAAAAGATGTAGACAACATTAAGTACGTCAGAACTGCACCAAAGTGCCCCTTCTTTGGGTGTCTGTAGCTTCCCTGGGCTTCCTGGGTTGTGTACACGCGATCTGCACTGCCCTTGGCCTTGGGCTCTGTGCTTTGTGGCCTTAGGATGCTGCTCTGGCCCGCCCGCACCTGTTCTTGCACCGACGGAAGGCTGTGAACCAGAGACTTTCTTCTCCAGGCAGGATTTGCCAGTTACGGAGGGGCGGGGCCTGGTGGTGGAGGGCCACGTGTGCTGGAGAGAAGCAGGAAGTGACTGCAGGAGTGGAGCCTGGCGAGCGAGTGTCTTCTGGGGCTGATGGAAGTGGAGAGGGGGCTGGAGAGGGCACCCTAGTGAGTCGCCTTTTCTCTCCTTCAGGCCCGGGATCCCGGGCAGTCACAAGAGTGTGCAGGTGCCCGGAGCTTGCGAAGGGATGCTGTAGGGAGGCCAGGTCCTGGTGGAGCAGCAGGGGGCTGTGACAGGTGGTGGGTGGGTGGGAGGTGTTCGGGCCTCCTCTGCTCCACCCTAGGATGAGCCGGAGGCAGTGATCCGCGGCCCCGGAGTGCACAACCGAGGGCCTCTTCATTCATTGTTTCGTGGTGGTGTGTAGGGGACAAGGGATCGCTGGGATCCAATGGCAGCAATTCCGAGGCCCCTGCCACTCCCACCTGCATCAGGTCTGGGGGAGGCCCGAGAGCCCAGTGCCCGCCGGATGGCTGCTAGAGAACTTTTTCACATTCATACTGTCAGCCCCGATCCCGAATCCGTCTCCTGGGCGTCTCTAGTAGAGTCTGGCCTGCGCGTTCTGTGCCAGCTCACTTAAGCCCAGGCAGTTCCTCGCTTTAACTAAATCAGCATCTTGAAGTGCGGAGGCAACAGATTTAAAAGAGGAGGGAAAGAAGGACATTTACTGCCTCCATAGGAGCTGGCTGCCCTGTGCTGCTGGAGTGAAAATGCACACAAGTGTAGCCTGATGTTGGCTTCTTTGAAGTTAGGACGGGCGGGGAATGGGCCCCTCTCCTGGTCACTGGTCCAGTTTGTGATGTTAATATGCAGCTCCTGGAGTCTAAAGCAGACCTCCTGGCATGATTTGACTGGCATGTCCTGTTCCTAAGAGCTTATTAGTCTGTTTGGTACTTGAAACGGCATGTACCAGTCTCCTATGGAGAAGGACTCGCTAAACCGTTGACTGTATAGAAGCTGGTCTGGCTTTCAGTAGTTAGCTTGTGTCAGAATTCCCCCCTGGAGTTCAATAAGCCGCAGATTTGGGATCTGGCAAGTGTGTTGTGTCTCACCTGAGACTCTGCTCTTTTAAGTAGCTCCAAAGGCTGGAGATAGAAGTCATTTGGTGGAGTGCTTGCCTGCTGTGCACAAAGCTCAACTAGGTATAGTAGCACACTCCTTAATTGCATCGTTTGGGAAGTGGAAGGCGGGAGGATCAGGAGTTCAAAGCCATCCTCTGCTACACAGTAAGTTCTGGGCAATCTTTAAAAAAATTATCTAAGTAGCTCCTGAGGGAGACCAGAACTCCTGCCCCCCCCCCCCCCCTTTGAGTAGCCAGTTTTCAAACAGCGAACGGAAGAAACTTCTCCCGGGGGTGCTGGGATCTCATTCGATAACTGCTATTGCTGGCGGATGGACAGGATATGGTTCTCAGTCTTCCCCAGCATTCCTCCTCATCTCAGGTGCTCGGTGATGAAATGGGCTTAGTATGTCCTATCCCACCAGCCGCCGTGAACACCCACTACTCCCTTCTGTTTGAATTTTGGTGGCTGGCAAATGAAGGTTGTTTCTTTTTATCAGTACCTGTCAAAAGACACAGTGAGGCCCTTGGGGTGTTCTATGCTGTGATCCGTCTTGGATAGCGAGAACTGAGCGGATGTTAGCTCGGTGTCTATCTTTGTAAATGTTTAACATTTTACTCACAAGCAACTGGAAATGATCAGCTGATCAGCGTATTAATGGTTCAGAGTCTCAGTTAAAAAAAATCACAAGTCCCTCTTTTTTATTTTTTGGACAAAGGATTTCACTATGTGGCACTGGCTGGCCTGAAACCCATTAAGGAGACCAGGCTAACCTTGCAGACATCTGCTTGCATTGGCTTCTTTAAGTGCTGGGACTGAAAGCCATGTGCCACCATGTCCAGCACTCACCACTCCTTTGAGGCTGACTTGACTCGGGGGATGGTGGAAAGGCTATTTGTAGGCCTGAAATTATTTCTGGGAACCATGGGTCTGTGCAGTTACCATCTTGAGTTCCTGTATCAGGTGTGTCCAACCTGCACTTCAGGAGAGAGATGAATACAGCCCAACACAAAATAGTAAACGCACTTAAACATTGTGAGATTTGGGAAATGATGCATTTTAAAACTACCTTTTCATTGATTTTTGTTTTGGGTGTTTGTGTGTGGGGCTTATGCATTCAGTGGTGCAAATGTAGAGGTCAGAGGGCAAATGGAGGTCAGAAGATAGCATGTTGTTTCTTTCCCTCATTTTTGTCATGATATGTGGGTATCAAGAATCAAATTCAGGTTGTGAAGCTTGGCAGAAATTTATTTATTTTTCTTCCTGTCACTTGATTGTGGGGTTCTCAAGTGTCAACAGTGTCATGTTGAAATGTCAAAAGGTTGCATACGCTTAGAATCCGAACCCACAGATGATTTTACTTTAGACCAAGCACAGGGTCCCAGCTGGGTTCATCTGAGCCCACAGTCTTTTCTGAGTGTGGACTAGGCACAGGGAGGGTCCTGTCCATGCTCTGCCATGGTTTTCTCTAAGGCCAGCAGAGAGAACAACTTCAGCCCTCGTTATGCAGGCACATAACTCCCGCTAAGCTCTGAGGGAGCTAAGCCAGGTGGGGTCAGGTCCAGTCCTGTGGGTGCTGAAGAGCCAAAGGGGAGCTGAATGAGGCCTTTGAGTTGAGGCCTCACACCTAGTGCGTATGCCCATATATGTGCCAGGACACACAAGTGGACGTCTCTACTTTGTAACTTTCCACAGGAGAAGGCCCACTGTCATTTCAGCTCTAGGACAAGATGGACAGAATCTGGTCTCAGTGTTGAGCATGGTTAATTCTGAGGCGGTTCTCTGCGTCCACACTAGAGAGGGCCCTTTCTTTTCTTGGTGGACTATGCTGCCACTTCACCGTCAGCAGCTATGTGCTGAGCTTCATGGCGAGTGCTTTTCATGGTTGTATTTCCTTGTGCTCTCTGCCTCTCCTGTTTGGGTAAGCTGGCTCCTTCTCATTCAGTAAGCATTTTCCAGCTGGTGCCCATGTCCCTTTTTACAGGCTGTGGGAAAGTGTTTTCACCATTCTCCAGAAGTTAGGGATATAAGAGACGAAGGAGACAGGCCCTTATGGAGAGCAGCAAATGCATGTGTTTGGACTAGTTGGGGGTTCATGGAAGATTTTGTTGTAGGTCTGGCATCAGGTGGGCCTCTGAGGAGGCTCTTGGGTCTCGTGGGTAGGAGGGAAGGCATTCCCAAAGGGGCTTATGGGAATGGAATCACGGAGGCACAGCTGTCTGGGTCTGTAAAGGTGCTGCAATGAACTGAGTAGTGTCCATAGTGGGCACTTTTGGACTTGGCTTGGAGAGTCCATGGAGGAGGGAAGGTCTGTCAGTGAAATTTACCTTTCGCTGGGAGGCTGGCTTGGGGAGCCAGGAAGGTGTGACTAGGAATCAGATGGCAGCCCTTTAGAAGAGAACTTGAGCTAGTGGCCTGTTTTTGTCAGGGGCAGAGAAGAAATGGCAGGCAGGAACAGAGGCATGGGAAGGCTGTTGTAGGATCTCCATAGCTCCTTTCCTCCTTTCCTCCGTGCCACAGCTCAGCTCCCTTGCGCTTCTCTCTGGAGCTACTTCCCAATAACTCTCCCTTTGGGAGGGCTTCCTGGCCTCTTTCTCTCCATGCCTTCATGGTGCCTTTCAAAGTTACATGACTTTTAATATCTGGAGCCTGGATGAAAGGCTTGACCCAGGAACCGGGATATTGAGGACCATTTTATTGGCGTGACTTGAAGGTGCAGACACCTACTCTGATGGAGGGCACTTCAAGTAGGGGTTTAGGACATGTATATGTCACCATCAGGGCCCCTCAGCATCTGACCCACTTGTTCTTCTGTGCCCAGCTGTATCCAGCATGCTCCAGGGCTACAGCTCCGTGCTCCAGGCCTTGCTGGGGACCTTCTTCACATGGGCAATGACAGCAGCCGGAGCGGCTCTTGTGTTCATATTCTCCAGTGGACAGGTGAGTTGCTTCATTGCTGGAGGTTCACAGGGACCCCTCGTGTGCTCTGAAACCATCTCCTTTCCACACGGCCTCTGGCAGCAGACACACAGGCAGGTGGTAGGGTGCCAATGTTCTCTCACCTCCTTGTTTTTTTTTTTTTTTTTTTTTTTTTCTGTTTCCTTACTAGGCCAGGAAACAGGTACCCGTGGGTGTTATACAAGCCAGGTACTCTCTTCCCCTCACCCTCCCCTGGCACCCGGGCTCAAAAGGGCGTGGGAGTGAGGGACTAGCAATTCTGCCTTCATTAACCTGCTGCCTCATTCTGAGCTTCCATCTACTTTCCTGCCTGGAGCAGGGAATACCATGCAGGATCCAAGATGATTAGGTTTCAGATGGAACTGCCCTCCCTGTGGCCTTGACTTAGACCGTTGGTAAGACCTTGGGAGAAGGAAGAGTTCTGCTTCTCTTCTGCTACAGCCCAGAGTATTTCATTCCTTCTCCTTGGCGGAATATTGGCAGGCTCACTTCCTCCATCCCCTGTAGACTTCTGTCTGCCCATATCTAACTCCGCATGCCCCGCCTCCTGAATGAATACAGACAGGCCACCTCCTCATTCTCTCTTCTGGTACCATGTAAGCCCACCCTTATCATGAACACATCTGTTCTCCTAGATGAGTACAGGCAGGTTTTTGTCCATGTGCATTCTGTATATGCCCCCCCCCCCCCCCCCGCATATGTCCTCCACACATCCCACAGATAGCCCCCAGTGTGCTCATTCATTCTCAGGCCATGCGTTCTGGCCCAACATCCTCACAAGATCTTGTCTATCTCCCCATCTTTTCTCTTCTCCACCCCACATCCTTACATCTTTCCTCTATACACATCCTTCCACACTCTACACTACAGGCACAGCCCGTGCTCACCTCCTACGCCTGAAGTCTACTCTCCTCCAACCCTGAACTGGCCCCCAGCCCCAGCCCAGAGCCACTCAAGGCTATCCTGAAGAGTGCAGTCCTTGCCTTGCTCAAGGGAAGTTGTAGATGTGAAAGTGGCCCAGGAGAAAGCAACTTCGATCTCTTTAAACACACTGAGTCCTGGATCTAGAAAGGATCTAAAATTTTGTCTAGAAAGTCAACGAGTGTCTCAGGTCCTTTGTTATAGACCAGTTTGGCAGGTCCTGGCTTCAGTTACAAATCCTGCCTCCCACACTGCTGCCTCTGTTCTAACTGGGTGAGGTTGGTTGGCACAAATCTATCATTTGGAGACTTGGATCTCAAACTCCGCAGCCAAGAATTACAGGGTACCCAAGATTTCAGCGAGTAAGACATCTGACAGGTCAAATTCACAGGTAAAAAATAGAATTCTGTTTGCCAGGAGCTGGGAAGAGGAGGGGAAGAGGCGAGAGAGGAGGAAGGATTTGAGCGGGTTTGGAGAAACCTTGCATGTGAGGGCCACCATCTTACTTAGTGTGGTGTCCTGCTGTCCCAGTATGGAAGCTTCTTCCCTTTGAAATGCCAAAGAACATTATATGCAGACCACAAGTACTTATCTATTGTGTTTGATGGATGTGGCAACAGATCGTTTTATTGGAATGGATGTGCATTTTTTACCTATTTGATTATTATTTTAGGAAGGCCCATGAATCAGGGCCTAAATCAAGGGCTAGCTCCTCATGGTCCCTTCAGGTTTCTTTCCAGTCACCACCCGCACTTGGACTTTCACTCTGTGTAAAACACTCCCACCCTGCCCTGTCTCTCCCACAGTGTAGGCACCCCTGTGTGGGTGCTGTTGTTAAGTACTCTGCTCATGTAGCATGTGCTGTTCCATGCCTGGCTGAATCCACCCTGTTCAGTTCCCAGTTTACTTAATGCTTCTGCCTGTTGTGTACATATGTCTATATATATCTATACATACATGTATGTACACAGTGTGTTCTTTGTGCATGTAATGTGTATATGTTTTCTCTGTCCTGTGGTATTTGATTGTCCTCCCTGGTGTATTCACCTTACTGTTGGTGGGGCTTTGTGCAGTGCCTAGTTTTGGGCTCTTGTGAACAGTGCATCTTTTCCATGGGTTTGATGATTCCCAGCATGCATTTCTGTTGCATCTCAGTAGTGGCATGTCCATTGCAGTCACTTGCTATTAGTCCTACCACATAGCTTTGCCTGTGTGACATGGATGTGCCAGTTTGTGTCCCCACCTGTGCGATGGTTTTGGTTGCTCCTGTGTTCCTTACTAGCCCTTAATCATTTCCTCATTTTAGATCAACTACTTACTAAAGGCTTGGGGTGCCGGGTAATACAGAAAGTGTGAGCCTGTGCACTCCAAGGCTCCCCTCCCCCGCCAAGGCTAATTCTGGTTGACTTTGGAATGGATGGAATATTTAACTATGTGTCCCTGGCTTTCCTCACCTCCCCCTGTTCTTAGCTCCCTGCTCTATAAGATCAGGAGCTCACCACCAGCTTAGGAGTAGGCCAGTGACACTTTTGAGCTTTATGGAGGTCTCCTTGCTGAGGCCACATCAGCTTGTCATGCTTGGAAACTGAAACATTCCCACTTTTTCCTTTTCAGAGGCAGATCTTAGACGGAAGTCTGGGCTTTGCAGCAGGGGTGAGTTCATATACCCGGTGAAGTGTGCTGATTTTAACCTTTCCCTCCCGGGGGCTGGCGCCAATCCTTCTCCACAGTGTCCAGATGTGCTTTTGTAAGAGCTAACTCCTCTTGCCACTGTGTTCATTCCCTCGCTTATTAGGTACTCTCCTCTCTATTTTGATGGAGAAGGAAGAAGTTCAAGACTTAGAAAATGGGATACATCTCCTTCCTCTATTCTCCTGGAAGGGCTTTTTAAAGGATGTTTTTTATCTTTGATTATGTGTATGTGTTGTGGGGGTGTCGATGGTGGTATGTGTATCTGAGTACAGGTGCCCTCCACCAGGTCATCAGTATCAGATCTCACTGGAGCTGGAGTTACAGGGGGTTGCAAGGCTCCTGTTGTGGGTGTTGGGAATTGACCTTGTCATTTGTAAGAGCAATACGTGCCCTTGTCTGCTTCACCATCTCTCCAGTCCCAGGACTTCTTATTTTAGGTGCTTTTAAGCATGCAAGAAAAAAAAAAGAAAGAAAAGAAAAAACTATATCCTCAGCACACATCACCCACCTTCAGGCATGATTGACACTCAGCAAATCTCATTTTATCTGTCTCCCTCCAGCCTTCTTGGGAACTGAAAATGTTTTATAAAAGCAAACCCCAGATCCATGTAATTTCACCTGTAAATTCAATATGTATCTCAAACTGAGTGACTTCTTGTGAAACCGCAATCAGTATGCCACCATCGCATCTACCAAATTGCAAACAGCGATTCCTCTCTGCAATCTAACGCTCAAGCCATACTCACATTTTCTCTGTCTTTTCCACGGGGCCCTGCAAGACTGCTCTGTAAGAGCTGGGATCCAAAGAAAATTTGGTAGCTATATTCTCTAAGTCTGTCAAGTCTTTACCTACTGCACCCCCTAAGCTCATGACTTGTTGGAGATTTCTAGATCATTCCACATTCTGGGTTTAGTGGATTCTGCCCCTGTTCTCTTGTTGATCTCTACAGGTGGAGAGTGAAACGTGGAGGCTTAATTTAGATTTCTTTTTTAGTTCAAAAGTATTTGAATTAATTGATTATGTTTGTGTGTGAGCATACCTATGCTGTGGCACACATGTGGAGGTCAGAGGTCAGCTTGCAGGGCATTCCACCAGGTGTAACCTGAAGATCAGACTCATGTTCTTAGGGTGGGTGGGAACTTCCTTCCCCACCGAGCAATTTTGCAAGCCGGGATTTTATTTTTCAAGCATGAGTACTTCATGGGGGTGCTGAATATTCCAGCCGCACGGGCTGCAATAGAAGGTGTGTGCTGTGGCTTTCTGAGTAGCTCAGAGCTGTGTTCTCATCTGCTGTCTCTATAACCCTATGATCTGGGACCTCACTGAAGTCACCGAAGTCACTGGTAGTCAGACCAGGGCCTGTCCTTAGAGACCTGGAGATTCCGAGGCTGTATATAGGTGCTTGACAAGCAGTAGCGGAATCCGTTTCTGGGCCCTCGGCTTGCATGTTTTTCTCTATGTAACACAGCCCTGCCTGAGAATGCTCTGAGCCAGCTCTCCTTCCCAGCCTTCCTTAGACAGATGTCCTCTGCCTTGCCTTCTTCTCCCATCACCCAGCAGCAAAAACTCCTGGCAGAAGTTGAGATTTAGGCTTACAGAATTCCCTTTGAGGTAAGTTCCAGTGAGCAATGGACCTCTCCTAAAGTCCCCTTTTTTAATGGTTCTGTTTCCATCTAACAGTGCCATATTTGAGACCCAGCCTTAAACTTATGTACCCCCTGAAGGTTACCCCCAAACCATGGCAACTTGGTAGGATCCTGAGCTTCCTGCTGAGGGATCCCATTTGACAGGCCGGTGTGTTGTAATGTGTGAAGATTACACATTACACCCTTTCTTCACCCATTCTTCCCAGCCTCACCTCAGGGTCCATGGCACCATTGCTAAGTAAAGGTTGAAGCTTTTAGGGCTGGCATAATGCCAACCTCTCACCTTTCTGGCTTTGGACTTGGCCTGGCTCTCATGGCTCCCCAAATGCTAGTGATTTCTGAAGGCTCAAGGGTACTGTGGTGGTATCCCTGTCCCCAGCCTTCTCCCTGCCCTGTTTTACATGTGAGAGCATGATGGAGGGTGGCCTGCTCAGCACTTCTTAACTCCTGATCCACACTGCGGAGAGAACAGCCGACGGCAAGACGAGGGGGTGGCGAGGCACAGAAGGAAGAAGATAGATTATTGCTGTTACTATTGTACTTTTTTTTTTATTTCATGCTCAGACTTCCAGTGTGATGATGAGCAGCATGGGGGAGGGCATGATTTATGTCACCTTCCACGGGGCTGGGATGCAACAGTCCATGTCTTATGGGAAGAGCCCCTTGCTTTCTTTCTCTGCCCAGGGTGGAGTGGTCTCGTAATTGAGTGGTCTGAGCTGTCTGAACAGTCACCACCCTTCTCTCCCATCTTGCTTGTACTGGTACCTAGTTAGCATGTATGGGAAGTCTACCATCAGCTCATATTCCCATCCCCTCTCCTTTTATCCTCCTGCCCTGCTTTGCAGGCCTGGGCCCGCTGTGTGAAGTAGATGGAATGGTTTTGGGATTGTGATCCTCACTGATGAAGAGGATCACACTGTCCCTGTAAGGAGAAGGTGAGAATGATGGGAAGACGAGGAAAAGCCAGAAAAAGCCCAGAGACGGGATGTGGCTCAGTTGAAGACACTTGTGTAGCACGTGCAAGGCCCTGGGTTCAATGCCCACTGTCTCCCTGAAATGGAACAAACACCTAGAGGTCCATGTTACATGGCCCTGTGTAGTTTCCACCTTTGTAGTTTCTTTGTAGGAACTGGTAGTTGTCTGCTAGCTTTTCCTGCTGATGTTATTGGCTCATGCAGAGGCTTACAAGATGTTCTTTTAGCATGACTGGGCCGTGTTGCACCTGTCTGTCCATTCATTCGTTCATCTGCCCATTCATCCAGCATCTGGTGGAAGCCTGTTTTGCACTGTGTCAAGTGCAGGGCAGCTGAGGGACAAGAAAACACTTCTGTCTGTCAAGGAGTTGTGATCCACGGGAGGGGTGTGCCAACCAGTCTGCTGGGCCAAAGCCATCTGCCTCCTGTTCCTGTGACTCTAGACAGTGCCCGGGGGGGGGGGGGGGGGGGGCCACGCCCACAGGTCACCGTGCCTTTTGCCCAGGGGCTGCTTTTGCATCACAGTGACAGCAGTGAGCTACAGCACTAAGCTCTCAAAGCCATGGCCCTTTGTTCTTTGGTTTTGAGAAAAGTTCGCTACCTCCTAAAGTGGTGTTGGGGGCTGGGTATTCTGAGGCCTGGTGGCTGTGCAAATAGCTAAGAAGAAAAAGACCACAGCTCCGTTCCATCGGGCCCAACCGTGGCAGGTTCTGCAGCGCTCCCTGGAATGTCTGCTGTTCCCGAGCGGATGCCTGGGAGACGCCTGGCTTTGTGTAGACCCTGCAAAGGAGGCCTGCTGGTTTTTTTCTTCCTTGGTGAAGGCCCTGTGTGACTTACATAGACTCTGACACCATTTTTTTTGTCACATAAAACACAGTTTTTCAGGGCTGGAAAGATGGTCCTGTAGTTAAGAATGTGTACTGCTCTTCAGAGGACCCCAGTTTGGTTCCCAGTACCTACAGTGGGCAGCCCACAACTGTCTGTAAGTCCAGCTCCAGGGGATCTGACTACTTCTGGGCTCCTTGGGCACCCACACTCACGTGCACACTGCCACACAGACACAGGTATACACATAATTAAAATATAATAATAAATCTCAGGAAAGATGTCTCCAGAGATGGTCAGGGCAAAGGTGTTTAACAGTAAATGTTGGGACTTAGAATCAAAGGGAAACAGACCTCTGGACATGTCTGTGAGGGAGTTTCTAGCATAGTTTAACTGAAGTGGGAAGGGGTACCCTAAATGCTGGCCGCGCCATTCCATAGACCAGAGGCCTGGACCGAATACCAGGAGAAAGCGAGCTGAGCACCAGCATTCACCTCTCTGCATCTGGACTGTGGAGGCAGTGTGACTGGGTGCCTCTTGTTCTTGTTGTCATGATATCCCCCGCCGTGGTGGACTGTATCCCCTCAAACCATAAGCCAGAGTAAACCTTCCCTAAGTTGCTTTCGTTCGATATTTTGTCATGGTGTGATAAAAGTAACTAATACAAGCATGTGATGGGAGATTGTGAAAGCAAGCTACCTGTCTCAACACAAACCCAGCTCAGTTTCTCAGCTGTCTCTAGTAGCTCTGGCCTAGCAGAGCGAGGCTGCGTGCCCTGGTATCCTTGGCTGTTGAGTTAAGCAGCCTTCTGGCTTTGGGAGTGTCACCTTCACTCTGATGTAGTGGTCCCCACCCTGGTTGCGTGTTACAATCACCTGGAAAACATTAAAATTTAAAATTACATTGTGTGTGTGTGTGTGTATGTGTGTGTGTGTATAGTGTGTTTGAACATGATAAGAATAGGGGAGCATTTGTGGAGGTCAGAGGGCAACTTTCAGGAGTCAATTTTCTTCCAGTGATCAAACCCAGGTTCTCAGGGTTGGTGGCACACGCCTTTAACTGCCAAGCCATCTTGCTTGTCCTCACCTGGAAAGCTTGCAGGGCCCTACTTGCAGTGCCCTGGGCACACCCTGTACTAACGACATCGGCTACTCAGGCTGTTGGGAGACAGTTGAGAGCATGCATCCAGTGTTAAGGGCTTTCACTCTCCTAGAGACCACATTCTAATGGAGAACAAGCTGGGATTTGGAGAAATCAGACTCCCTTCAAAATCATCAGTCGTTGTGAACTGAGTCAATACTTAGGGTTAGGACCATACTCAGGGTTTCCAGACATGGAGGACAGGTGCCCAAACTGTGGTGGGAAAAGTCAAGAAGAAGCTCTTTATCTTCTGCAGCCTTGTCTGTGGCATCCAGCATCCATTGTGGATTTGCTAGATGATTGGCTCCCAACACTGGTTGATCTAGCCTGGCAAAGTGGGCAGTTGTCATACTTCTGGTTCATTTCCAGTTGATC